AATATTCCCCAATTTTCAAAACTGCGCGCGTTGCCAAAAAAAATTTGAAGAACATTATCTGTTCGCTTCTCGGAACTCATAATGTCCGCGGACAAATATCCGAGCATATTTTCCCGCCAAATGGAGGCTATTGTTTATATACTGAGGAATTTCATGAAGTCGATGTAATGTTTTCAAAAATAATCTGAAGATCTGCGAAGAGCTGGCGGACACGCGCGGAAAAAGAATGGCTCTCGGCAACACGGGCGCTCTGCACAGAAATCTTGGCCGTATCAAACAAGCCATGGAGTACTTTGAGAAGGAAATTCAAATTGCTGAAGCAACAGGAGACAAGAGTCTAGAATACCATGCGCACACAAACCTGGGGCTTTGTTACCGGGAGGCATACCAGAAGGCTCTCCGTTGCTATGAAAAGTCGCTTGCTGTCGCTATGGCCACGGGCTGTAAAGAAGACTAAGGAGGGGCCTACTCTAATTTGAGTAACATATACCGTTACCTTGGATATCCAGTGAACGCTTTGAACTATTCTAAGAAACACCCTGAATTGGCAACATAATTAAGAGACCTTAGAGGTCAGTTTATCGCCAGTGGGCGCCTGGGCAACGCTCACTGTGCGCTGGGAGACTTCAAAAGTGGCCCAACCTTTGCGTTTTCCATGAAAATGCAAATCTTGCCAGAGAAATCGGAGACAAGGCGTTGATTGCTCGTGCAGAGCATAGCTTGGGACTTGCTCTGTCGTACCGCGAAGAATACAGGGAGTCGCTCACACACCACGACACGGTACACAGCCTATTCAAGGAAGCTGACATGAGACTTTCCGCTTATCACGCCATGTTAGCCAAAGCGAAGTGTCTACGTATGTTACAGGAGTACTAAGGGGACATAGCGATCTACCAAAAGAGTATTAACGAATATGAAGATGTGCGAGCTCATCTGGGCAAGCCAGAAAACCTACAGATTTTAATCGGCGATCTGCACATGATAGTGTAAAAAGCTCTTTCCTATATAAAACACTGTTTCATGCTGGGCATGTCCAGGATGCCATGCTGGCAGACGATCGCGGGCGAGCCATGGCCCTCAAGGATCTTCTTTATCACGAGTTTGATGTGAAAACAGTATACAAAAGAATTACAGCGCCCTCAAAAGATGTAAACAGCGTCTCCAAGTTTCTGGATGAACTGCGGGAGGACCCTGATTTCATCACTGTGATGTACTCATTTTTCAACGGGCAAATGTTCATATCGGTTATTTCACATTAGCGCGTGGACTGTGTACGACCGTGGTCCGAGAGGGAAGGTCAAACGTACAGGGCCTTGATGGAACTTGTGGAAACATCACTGGATGAGATCAGACAAGGAGTCAGAGGGCTTGGAATGGTCGAAGACAGATTGCTCTTAGCCTCTGAGACAGACAGCTGCGAAGACATCTTTGCCATTCAAGAATCACTGTCCTTACCATGGAATCTTTGGGAAAAAGGCACAACTGATCCCAAGACTTCAAGTCCAGTCCACCAGGGAAGAGATGTCTCGCAAAATGGTGTCGAAAGCCTCGTCGAAACCAGTGGATGTTTCCCACCCAGGCTCCAGTCTGCGCAAGCTGTACGACATTTTAATCAAACAAGTCGGGCACCTCACTCAAAGAAACAAGTTGTTTATCATCCCTGAAGCGGTACTGTTATCGCCTTCCTTTCTCTGCCTTACTGGATGGTGAAGGAACATTTCTCTCGAAGAAGTTCAGCATTCAGGCATGCACATCCCTCGAGACGTTAGCTCTTATCTCTAAGCGTCCCAAGAAAGAATTTGAGGGTGGGGCACTCGTAATTGGGAACCCACTGGTTGGGCGTGTCCGTCGAATGGGAAAAGAGGCCAAGCCCAGTGAGCTACCAGGAGTACAAAGGGAAGCAGAGAAAGTGGCGTCATTTCTATACACTACAGCTGTTACCCAGCAAATGGCCACCAAGTCACGTGTTATCAACTGCCTTGTCAAAGCTAGTATAGTTCACATTGCTGCCCATGGGGCCCCGGTGAAAGGAGAGATCGTTCTTGCTCCTCAAACAGACCCCAATCAAGGAAACCAGCTACCTATAGAAAAAGACTACTAGTTGATTATGACATGCGTAGATATGGCCTCGCTGAGCCTGCGAGCACGTCTGGTTGTGCCGAGTTGCTGTCAAACTGCCTAAGGCGATATCCAGGCCGAAGGGCTTGTTGGTATAGCCCACTCATTCCTGGAGGCTGGTGCGAGTGCAGTGGTTGCGACGTGGTAGGCTATAGATGGTTTTCACCGTCACGCAACGAAAAAATAAATTGAAAATTATTCAGTGGATAAAGTCAGAAATTTTAATATTATAGGAGACAGGTAAAAAAGACACTCTCACCAAGTTTTGGGTCTCTGCGTTTTCCCGAACTTCAGATATTCGTCCAAACGTTTTGCGTAAATTTACTGAGCCCGTGCTCCACCAACATGGCGGCACGAAAACAGTGCAAACATCTGGAACTTACTTTGGCTATCTAGGCCACTAATTATCTGCACTGAACCAACAAACATTAACAAAAGCCCTTTTCCTAACACTTTAACTCCTAAAAAGGCTAAAAAATCACTAGATAAGTGTGTATTTTTCCACAAACGCAATCAGAGCACTATGTCACGCACCGCCATAACTTTGAACTTCAAACTGCGCTGGTTTCCAAACCAAGCGCGCTATTGAGCTGAAAAGCTGTAAACAGATGTAAATTTAGATCCCCTTATGCCTGATGAGAATGAAAGCTTTCGTGGCTTTTTAGTTTTGGATTTTGGAATTTGATGACGTCACGTGAAAACGATCTATTGATGATGAAGCAACTTTATCTTTTATGGGATTGTTCTATAAACACGTGACCACAAACATGTCGGTGTGTCAGGCTCTACAGTACATCATGATTACCCTGCAGGGAAAAGAACACTTGAAAAGGATCTCCAACTGGGCGCCATTTTATGTTATTGGCGAAGATGTGTAGTTCACTTGTACGGAAATCCAGCAGACGAAAGAGAAGGTATTTAATTTTTCAGCATAGAAACCTCTAAACCGGACTCGTGGAGTGGATCTTTGCCGCACTGCTGTAATAAAAACACTTCAAGACAAACAGTTCTCAAAATGAGATAACGGTTTTCTTGGGCGAGAGATTTGAGTAAAAATATCTCTTGCAGTGGATATTAAACATTGTACTGACCGTTGTGTAATGTTACACAAGAGTTTGTGTGTCACCCCAATGTGCCTTTTTCTCTTTTTTCGTGTGCGAGCTTAGTTCAGTTAGTTTTAGAGTGAAAGCTGCAAACGGGTCGTTGTAACTTCGTTAAAAAGGAGTTGGTTATTCCAGAGTTCGATTGTAAAATAGCCAACAAAAATACTATAGCTTGCTGTTAAGACCTGGCCGGCTGCCGTGGCCTTTGTATAGTGTTAGCGGTGAGGTCTGATTATATGAATATTTAGTAACAACGAGTGATATAAACACTTTATTGACAAGATGTGACTTTGTACAAGGATTCTTGTTACGAATGTTACGTAAACTGCTGAAGTGCCGTCTTCACCCTGTGGAGACAAAAAAATTGCTTTTTGAGCAAACCACCAACTTAGTGCTTTTAGAAAACGCCAATGGCCGCGTTTTATATTTTAAGTATAATAATACGATTCCAGGCGTTTTCAAGTAGGTAAAAAAAAATTCAAGGTGTTTTCCAGGAATTGCGGGAGAAAGGCTAACCTTATAATTATATATTTCGAATTCTATGTTTTGCGCTTAAGAGCGTCTATACTTCTCTAATTTCAAAGAAGTTTCAGAACAGGTTACAGACACGTTTTCTGCAAAGTTCGAATTTTCTCTCTTTAAGAGTCTATTTCTTGGAAGAAATGGTCGACCATTACTTAGATAGAAAAATTGAAAATGCAAACTCGTATAATCATTCTCGTTGCCATCCTCTTATGCTGATCCCTGGTATTTGCCAATTGCTGTGCTTCAAAGTCATTTTGATCAGGTTCTCTTTCATCTTCAATTCGTTAAGTTATCGAATTCTTGCAAAGAGTACTGGAGGACATTACAGACCCTCCTGAGAGGAAGGCAAGGGAAACATCACCCTACCTTTCAAACAGATTGACGTCTGATGTTGTAAGAAGAGATTGTAGAAGTTTCTGCACTCCAAGATCACGAAGCTTTTGTTGTCTGTCCACAGCTCCCTCTTCCGTGCTCCAGACTAGGTTGGACACACAGTAAGTGGCGGCCATTTGTAACTTGACGCTGTCGTTCATCATGTAGTGCATGAGTCGTTTCAACAGGCTTTCATCTCTCATCACGAATTCCTTAGCTGACGAGCCGTTGGCGATATTAGCGATCACGCACAGCGCCTGTAAAGACAACATGTCAAAATGGAGTTTTCAAATAAACTGCTTCATGCTTCATCTCTAAAAAGTAGTTTCTTCGAAACACATGTTAGGATAAAAATCAGAGATAAAAACTAACGACGTTTCGTTCACTGGTTTTTATCACTTAGGCTTTGTAACGCTTAGTGCATATTTAGATATTTTTATCGTTTTTCAAATTCTAACCTCTTATTTTATTCATATATGCGAAAATTTTAATCACTTTTTAAACTTGAAAATGATCTCAGCGAGATCGAAACGTCGTTTGTTTTTATCTCTAGTTTTTACCCTAAAAAGAACTCATAGAGTTATCGATTTTCATTCTCCGATTAAAAACTTCCGCACGCGTGCACCTCAACATCACGTGATACACATACGTCATGTTGCTTAGCAACTACTTTAAACCTGCACTACTGCAGGCTCAGTCATTCTTGAAAGGATTTCGATCAGGAAAGGAGTAGTGTCATCTTTTGTTCAGCCCCTTGTCTTAACCCTTCCCGCTTCCAGTTCACATATTTCTACCACACCACATCTCTCCTACTCAACCGGATTTGAGTACGACAAGATAGACAAGGGTATGTGACAAATTGCGGTTTACATTAAATTCAAGGACAAGTGCTTTATTGCTAGTATTTACCTGTTCTTTAACATCCTCGGTGCGCGTTTCGCTGTCCAGTATGGGCTTGACGCTCTCCATCACACGAGCGCCATGTAGAAGCATGATACGATCAATGTCCTGCCAAAAAGAAAACGTTCACGATTAACTTTTGACATTTGGACATTGCTTTCCACATTTTCTTAATTAATAGGCCATTTCCGAATTGTCTTTTAACACACAACCTTTCATTTTTTAATGAGTTTACTTTGTAAAGTAGTTTATTAAAACTCTCTTGCAGTAAAACAACTTGCATGTTAATTGTCTTACAAATCAATAATATACACTGGGCATCAAGAATTGTTTTGAAACCGAGGTAAAATGGCTCACTGGAAAATAAGTTAGTTTGTGAGGCAGAAAAGCCCAAGTTAATAAACTGTTCGTGCGGTCTGTTGAGTCTTTTGATTGGCTAACAAGTTTTGAAAAGTTGTCAGAAAATTATGACACATTTTGACGGGTGAAAAGCAAAGGAGTAAATTATGACGTAAATAAACTGATAACATATTAACGAGTGAAAAAGAAGAGTAAATTATGACATAATTAAATTAATAACATTAACGAGTGAAAAAGAAGAGTAAATTATGACATAATTAATAATGGTAATAGGACTGAGTGGAGTCCAATTCGGTGTGTAATCATACGAGTGATTAACAAAATCGGACGACCGCGAAGCGGGAGTCCGATT